ATATAATTTCCTCTTATCATAACTTAAAGCAAGTTAAAGGTTTGGTTGTGCTAGGACAATGGGATGTGCCTGGAATGTGGCCATGAAATGCTGTGGGGGGACTCCTGGGGACTGCTTTAAAAACTTTCCTCAGCCTCCCCTGTAGTGCCATTGGATACTTCCAGCTCCTCCCTTGCATGTGGGAGAGGTGTGCGTAACAGACCTGGTGGGAGGGAGAAGCTCCACGTGCTGGAGCCCTGCAGCATTTTGGCGAGGCAGCAGCGAAAAAGATGCTCAAGCTGCTTCCTTCCCTTGGGTGGCTGCAGAGGCTGCCAGCAAAACTCCTTTTGGTGGTAAGGAGGCGTGCAGGGCCAGAGGGGCAGAAGGGAGGGGACTCTATTCCTGGAGTGGGAGGGAAGGGAAGCCCACAGCCCCTTCCCTTCATGGAGCACCTTTTGGGAAGAAGGGGAGGCCACAGAGGGGCCAGCTTCACTCCCCCCTACCCTTCCTTAAATAGGCTGGCTGCAGCAGGGAGCAGCATCTGGCAGACTGGAATGCGGGACTGGTTGGAGGGGGGAATCCCTTGCAAGAGTGGGAGGGAAGAGAAGTCCTCCCACCCCCTTCCCTATGTGGGGGTGCCTTTAGGGAGGAAGGGGTGGCCACACTGGGCAAGCCCCAGAAGTCCTTCCCAGCATGGGGAGCTGGGAAAAGGGAGGAAGGGGCAGCCACAGCTGAGAAAGGAAAAGCAAACTCAGCCACCAGACTAAAATTCTAAATAAAATAAAGAACATCACATCACGGGGTTTTGTGGGATTTTTCTATGTGTGTTCTGTGTGTCTTTTTTTTTTTTTTTGCTTCTCACTCTTGTGCGGCCCCTGACTGATATCTCTGTGGGTTAATGACCCCAGAACCACCCTGTAATGGGGCAGGCCGCAAGCTTGCGCTGCCCCGCACTAGAGGCGACTCCGAGCTGGGAGCGGTGAAGCAGGAGGGGTGTCCGGGAGGCGGCGAGCTGACGGCAGCCGACTGTGGGGCTGGAGAGACCATGATAGAAACTGCCAGCGGCGCCGCGGCCATGGGCGGCCGGGCATGTAGGTCGAAACCCGAGGACGTCACCCGTGACGTCACGCGGGCATCCTGGAGGGGCAGGGCAGAGGGCCCAGGGGCGGGGCCGGCAGGGGACGCCGAGGCAGCCAGTATAAAAAGGACACGGAGCCCGAGCAAAGGGGGAGGGAGCTGGAGCAAAAGGGCGTCCACCCCCAGGGAGCGGGAAACGGTAAGCCTAGCACTGCGCTGGGCCAGGTAGATGGGTTTGTCAGGGAAGAAGTGGCCCAGGGCAAGGCCATGAACCCTGTGAGTGGAGGGTTTAGGGGCTACAGCCCCCTCCACTGAGTAGGGATGAGTGTCCCTGCCTTAGGGCCCTGGGCCGGGGCTCGAAGAGAGGGAGGGCCCGAGCTCCCTTCCCTGACCCCAGCGGTCACAGTTTAGGTGCGCTCTTACCCTGACCCGGCGCAGGGAAAGGTCAAACCTAAAGGATCACAACTAAAATCACTGGGACTTCACAAGTACTATTTGACTTGCATGAACCAAGTACTAGTTGACTCGCACGAACCCACATGGGATGGGTTAAGGGAGGGAGTGATCGGTAACACCCCCCAAACAAGGTTCCCCACCCCTGTTATATAATCACCATGTGGGAGCAGCAGGGAATATGGAATGGGAAGCTGTGACAGTTATAATGTCCACAGGAGGATGGCAAAGAACCAGAGATGGGGAGCAGGACACCTGTGACTCTACGGGAGCAGCAGGGGGCAGGTGGAGAAAGGGACAGCTATGTACTGTATATATGAGAGAAGTCTGCCTGTTTGTCTGCATTCTCCCCCAGCTGTGCCCATTGCAGCAGCAGTGGCTATGGAGAGGCACTTCTCACCAAGCTGCTGAGATTGTCCTCTCTCCCAGGGGCAGCCTGCATACTGAACCCTTCATCCCCAGCCCTACCACATAACAAGGATTTAACAAAAAATAGTTGAGTTAAGGATTTGAGCAATGCCAGGTAAATCTTCTAGTATATGTATACTGAAGTTATGCTTTATGGACTTGAAGAATAGTCACCAAGCAGTTACGTGTTTCCATGATGTTCCATTTGAGTGAGAGGAAGTTGTCACTGTTCCACTGGCTACCCTTACCACATCTCAGAACAGTCAATGCAATGCTATAAATCAGTGACAGACAATTAAAATAACTTAAAGGTAGAAAAGAAACTGCAACAAGGTGGGGATTCACTCTGCTTGCAACTAGAAACAAAAGATTGTTTTCAGCGTAACAGTATTATGAAAGGCACTCAGTCCATTCACTGAGGAAAACCCCTGGCAGAGGAGGTGTTTTCATGGACATTTGGATTATTAGGTTGGTTACTGAGGAACTAGATAAAAGTCTTAGAATGAACTTTGGGATATAATCTTCCATGTTCGATAAGAAAGACAACCATTGATAACTGTAAAACTAGGTTCACATTTTAAATTTTGCTAGAAGACTTACCCAGCATTGCCTAGATCCAGGGCAGGCCCGGGGTGTGCGTAAGCCACCTGCCGGCTTCTCTCCAGGGCTGGCTCAAAGCAGCGGGGACCATGTGGAATTGTTGCCCTAGAGTGGCTTGAAGAGGCGGGGGCTGTGTGGTGGCTGGTAGCTGCTTCCTGGAATAGGCCAAGTGGCAGGGGTTGCATTGCTGGCCAGGGCCTGCTCTTCGGGGCTCGGGCACTTGCTGCTCCGCTCTGGGAACTCCTGAGTATAACTGACTCTGCTACTGTCATGAATCATGGGTAGTGTGAATGGTTGGCATGAGTGAATTAACAGTAAGTGAGCTGAAGAGAGGCCATACTAGGGTCTGAGTCAGTGCCCCGGTGGATTATGGACTTGTTTATCACTGAGAAAAAAAGACTGTGTGTGCTAAGGAAGCAAAACCGCACGAAGGGAGGCAAAGTTCCCAAATAAGAGGAGTCATCGAGGGAGGAACTTGATCAAAGACATTCAGTCGCTTGTGGCTGGGTAAGCAGAATTGGGTGTTGTAAGTAGGATGTTCCAAGATCAGTCGTAAGCACACCCGCAGGTGGTGAAATCAACAGACATCACTCCACCCGAACTGTCCCTTGCCAAGGGGATATATACGGGATATGTACCCCATCAGTTTGCCACACGGGTTGAAGTCCATCGATTTGGCATATTGGGGTGATGTGCACGTTGGACTCTTGCCTCAACCAACCAACATTACCTAGGGTTTGTCCAGCCCCAGAAGGTGAGTGGTGTGTGTGTGAATGTGCTTGTGAGAGTGTGTATCAAAACAGGGTTAAGAATTAGACTGTTAACTGTTCAATTTTAACAATGCTTTTGAGTTTTAAACCGCTTCTAAATTGTTTGCAATAAAGTTTGTTAAAGGCATATTTTGTCTGCTGTGGATTTATTCTTCAGCCGGCTCTATGGAACTGTTGCTAGACTGATCACCCATGCAACAGCGCCCTCTTGTGACACTATCACACACTCCCTTTCTATTTTATGCAAAACAACCACATTCCACATACATCCCATTGTTGTGGCACAACCAAACCCCAACCTTGCTTTAAGTTATGATAAGAGGAAGCTGCACACTAGAGCTGGACGGGACCTCAAGAGGTAGGACACCAAGTCCAGTCCCCTGCCCTTACAGCAGGACCAAGCACCATCTAGATCATCCCTGATAGATGTCTCTCCAACCTGCTCTTAAATATCTCCAGTGATGGAGGTTCCACAACCTCCCTAGGCAATTTATTCCAGTGTTTTACCACCCTGACAGTTAGGAAGTTTCTCCTAATGTCCAACCTAAATCTCCTTTGCTGCAATTTAAGCCCATTAAGAGGAGTTCTTGAACCAGTGGATTCATGGACAGATGGACAAACAGACAGATGCAGATTTCTAAAACATATAAGATTTGGATTATAACCATTGTTTCCATCACTCTGTTTCTAGTTAAATCTTTATTCTTTCTTAAATAAACATATGTTTGCTTTATCCTAAGTGCTCACAAGTCTTGTGTAGTTAAAGAAGCATAGGTTTAAGGTAGAACAGGGTTACGCTGGACACTTTTGGGTTTAGAGAACCTGGAATTTCTGTGATGATCCAGGGTAAGGGGTTACATATCACTGGGAAACAATTCAAAGGGACTCAGGGATTGGAGTGCAATGATTGTTAACCTGCAAGATAATGGAAGAGCTGGTATAAGTTCAGAGGAGAGTGCTCAAGAGGCTGAAATCCTGGTGGTGCTAGGAAGCTAACAGGCAGCTTCCACTAGAGGCAGAGGGCAACAAGCTGTCAGACATGGGAATCCTGAAAGCCATCACACACAACAGCTGGACTTGTTTTTTTTTTCCATATTCAGGTGTTTGAAGAGTCCCTTATTGGCCTGTGATCAAAACTTATTTTATAGCACTTTCCTTTCTTCCTAACATTGAAAACTATTTAGTTTTTCCTTGTTAAAGACAAACTTAAAATGTTAGACCTGCATTTCATGTGTCTAACTGGCTATAACAGCACTCTGTGTGTGACAGCCATATTGCACATTGCCAGTGTGACCTGCCCACTAGTCCAACACTAACTTTACTGTTGACGCTCTGGTCATTTTTAAACCCCAAGTTAAATGTCTTCAGAACTCATTTTCAAAAGAGCCTCAATCCAAACTGTATTTATACACATCAAATCTTGGGTGTCCACACTCTTGGTCACGTACCTTTGAGAAATCTGGCTTTAATGTGGTTGTGGTAGTTCACAAAATCCATAAGTGTTTTTTGCACACAATAATTCTATTACCATGCAAGTGTTTGCACAAACAAAATTGTCTATGTGCAAGTGAAGACTGCATTTTGAAAACTTGATTTTTGGATCTATCAACTTGGTTTTTGACTCTATATAGTCTTATAATTGGCTATTGCAAGACTAAGTCTCACCCCAGACTTTGTAGCTCCAGTGATGAGTAGATGTGTATCAGTACTTACAGCTGTCCTCGTCTTCCATGAAAACACTGATCACGTAACAGGCGTACACAAAACCAATCAACTGCATGAAAATAAAAGGAAAATAATTTCTAAGTTAGAAAATGTGTAAAAATTCTCAATAAATACATCTGCCAAGATTGAATTAAAAATGCTTTCATTTTGTTAATTTAAAAGCAGACTTCAGCATATGATCATATAAAGACACATTGCATAAACTTTTGCTAATGCAGAGTACTATTCTAACATAATTTAACTAAAGCAGCTCCCAGGTTAATTTATATTGTTGCACAAGTAACACTGACAGGAAGAATGTGAACCATGATTTTTAAGTAGTAACTGAAATTTAAGAAGCGTTCTCGATCTCTTTTGCACACGATTCCATTCACAGGAATGCTAACAGCTGAAGGGTATGCATGTGTTCATTTTAAACAAAATGTCGTTTGGAAAGTAGATATGCATAAAGAAGCATGCTGTGGCTTGCCACCCTAGGAACAGATTAGAAAAGGCCAAGGGGAGGGAGAGTGAACTCAACATGTGGAGTGGATAAGTACAAGCATGTGACAAACAAAGCCATATATGGAAAGGTTGAATATGATTGTGTTGCATAAATTGCAAGGTTTCGTCCCCTTGGAGGCTAGTCTGATTTACCCCAAGAAGAGAGTCACACTTTCAGGCTGGGTCCAACTCAAGTTTATTGGTTGCAACCACGGTAGGCTAAGGAACTCAATGTTCAAATCAGAGCCGACGACCAACATCTCATAGGCAGGGGTTTTTATAGGGTTCACATCTTTCCTGGTTTAGGTGCCTTAACATGATAGGTTACTTCATCTTTGACATTTAGCATTCCTATAGGTCAGGTTAATTTTCCCAATGAGGTTAAATACAATGCCTACTTGCTGATTTTGCAGTTACCGCTGTGTTTACATTCATTCACTTTTGCTGAACAATGGGCAAGCCATACTTCCCTTTTTCCTTTCCTGCTTGAGCCGGTCACAAGTTTAAAGGATGTGGAATCTATCCATATCTCTACTTAACAGAAGACTGGTTTCACTTCCCCTCGTCTCCTTATTATAAGTTATTACCTGTGACAGGCCTTGACCTTTGTCATGTCTTACTCCTATACAAATAGCAAATATATCTAAGCATTAGCAATGTATGTATATTGTACGTGCCCCTCATAGGGGAATCAATAGCTCCGGGGGATTTGACTTCCCTTTTACACATCAAAGTGAAGTCCTGTTCAGCTTGCGAACAGGAACAGCTAACAGGGAGTTTGGAGAGGGAGTTCTCCAGGTAAAAGAGGAGTAAAAGTGGGTCCCTTGTGGTAAGTGGCTGTCTGGAGTGTGTGTCTGTGTGGGGGGGAGTTATTTGCTGTGTGCTGAGCTTGTGTTTGTCTGTTTGGTTTGTTTGTTTGTTTGTTTGTTTGAAGGAGCTTCTAAAAGGTTTGAAATCTAGAAGCCTCTGTTAATTGGCTGAGCCTCAGTCAGGGGGAGGGGCTACCAGAGCTATATAAGCCTGTGACTCAGCGCCCAGGGAGCTTGTGAACAGGAACAGCTAACAGGGAGTTTAGAGGGGGAGGTTGGAGGGCACTAGTGACTTCTGACCTTCTTTAAAACATAACTTATATAATAATCTATATTCCAGAGGTTTAAAAAGAATCCCAGTTTATACTTAAACTTATTCATTAGAAAAATGGAGACAGAAGCCCAGCAGCAGAGTGGGGGCGATCCTGTTTATTGCATCAAGTGTAACATGTATGATTACCTGCCCTGTGGGTGGGTGGCGTATGTGTGCACCCGTTGCAAGGAGCTCCTGACCCTCAGAGACCGAGTTCGGGCTTTGGAGG